GATTTCTGACAAAAATGCCAATGTTAAGGGACCTTATTTATAAAAGAATAAAAATACGCATCTATCCACAGCTTTTCACAAAAATATTTTTATTAAATATTAGTCTAACTCCATATGATTGTTATCTTCAGGAAAGAAAGTCTTGGACCACCAAGCTTTTTTATCTGTTAAACATTGGTTTGAGTGTGTGTATAGAGTAGTTCCTGGGCCTCTTTCCAAATCATATAAACTTTTTCCTTAAAAGATCTGAAAATGGGCATAATTTAAGATTACAAGGTATTTTCCCCATTAAAATGTTCCCAAGATTAGATCACGGTTTAGCAAAATAAACAGAATTTAGTTCTTTGGCTCTTTTTATAGGGTATTAGTTTCAGACATATTTCAGATTGGGCCATGGTTCACTAGCGAGAGTGACAGGCTTCAAGAGTGGTTCTTTTGCTGGTTTGAGACTGCACACAGTGCCAGTAGAGATTTTTCTGGGATTTTAAATTAATTTAATGGGATTTTATACTGTTCTCTTAAAGTGAGATGATAAAATAAGGCAAGAAGTTTCATGGACAAGATGCTTCTAACATCCCACCTCAGCTCCTGACTTAGCTTTCAGAATCATTGTCCCCCATGTTGTTATCTGCCCTTTGTTTCCTTACCCAGACGTCGTCTCTGAAATGCGGGTGCTGATTCTGCAGTCAGCATCTCCTTTTGTAAGATTCACACCCATCAGCATGAGTTTGCTGGGTTTGTATTTTCTAATGTCCTTGCATTTGTATCTGTGAATAATGTAATAAAAATAAACATTAAAATACATGACCCAAAATATCAGTCTGAAGTAGCACAATAAAATTAAAGCTGGCAAGACACAACGCTAGAGAACATGAGACATCTAAGGCCTGCAGGGGGACAAAAGGGAGGAGATCTGTCTTTGGCTTTCATTTACTCTACTGTTCTAATGAAGTCCCAAACACAATGAAGGGACCTGCTTTTGGCTGGCTCTGCAGGACCTAATGGTATTGTGAAGAGTTTCAAGCAAACGTAGGCAGAAATTGTGGCAGTGATTTGCGAGTGTGCTGCAGCAGCACTCCAATATGGACCGGTGTGATGACAGCAGGGTCACTTTGTCATCTGTAAAACATTCCAAGTTTTATTTATAAAGACAAGCAGCTCAGACAAAGCAGGACCTAGCTTTCTGATTTTTTATTTTATTTTTTTTTTAATTCTTCCCTTCCAGGGTGGAGAAAAAACCTGCCCATTTTGGAAAGATAACTGTAGCATCTAGATTTTGATCTCTCTATTCAACCTTTCAAGCACCATCTCCTCAAAACAGCATAAAGGACCTGCTGCAGCTAGTATCAAAAGGTAACATGCTTTGCTAAAAAATATATCCTGATTATTTTTTTTTTTTGTATTTTGAAATGAAAATGTGAAAAGCCTCCACGCAATACAGGAAAAAAAGGGCTCTATTTCTGTTCTGCTGATGAAAAGATTCATGTTTTCCTGGCTTGCTTTATGGGTAACATTCAATTTTGGTCCTTAAAGGTGACCTCTGCCTTCCCCTCTCACCATCCCCAAAACAGCAGGCCTTTTTGAATTATATAAAACCTTGTTTTCAAAAATAATTTCCTTGGGTGGGTTTTGAGCCTTATCTGAGATGCGTTGGCGAATAGGGAAAATGCACTCACAATGGAGCTTCATCAAAAATACTAATGGGAAGCCAGTAGCTGGTTTGTGAAGTCATTGAATGGCAATGACCGAAAGGAGCATGACTAGATATCCAGGGTTTTTAAAAGGTCATTCTGAATGACCTATAAACCAGGAGAAATCATTCAAGCCGTCACTGACGGATGGTGACTGTCATAAGCACACGGTCACTGGACTTGTCTGTAACAGTTCATGGAAATGTCAGAAAATGTTAAGGCCTTGTCAAGAAAAAAGGAGAGAGTAGGACTTCAGAGTGCTGCAGGTCAGTTCACAGCAGCTTGCTGTCTAGGAAAGTGAGAATATTTTTCTTGATTAACCCTGCAAACAAGGGCATTTGAATAGTCATTCATTAATGCAACTATTAGTTAAAGTTTAATAAGTCAGCCTACGTATGCTGCTATGCTGTGTGACATCTCATAGCAACAGCGCTTGAAATATTTACTTACTTATTGTTTCTTTATAATCAATAATGAAATACCCAGGATCCTGTTTGCATTTCCCTTCTCTTAAACAAACCACACTCATTTGTTGATTTAAATGGGCCACACTTTCTGTCATAAGCTACCAGAGATTTCAGCTATTTTTATATGGAGCAGCTTACCCTAATGTCAGAGTGAAATTTATGTAGTTACGGATTTGCTTCTAGTTTCTTCAGTGAAAATTTCATGAGTTATTTTGTAAGCTTGTTGTTTTCTGTCTCATAATCCAAAAGGCTGCATCAGAGAATGTTGACAGGAAGCTGGGTTTGCTCATCAAGGAGTGTGTTCTTTGCAGAGCATATGCATGAGCTGGTACTCACATGTGGGATCACATTTCTAAATGCAGATATTCAAGTATTAGGTGTCAAAATAGAAGTGGCCTAATGTACAGTGTTGCAAAGGTTTGCAGCTTCAATGAGGTGAGCAGTTAAACATGGACATGGCTGAGCTTTCTAGTGAAAGGCTCAAGCTCTCAGCTGTTAAATTGAAGAGGAAACTATGGTTGCGTAAATAAAATTGGTTAGAAATGTGATGAAAGTAACAGGTCCAGCATATAGGCACGCATCCCTCTTCTACCCTACATTACAAAAAGGAGGCAGCAGAACGTGAATACAACCTCATCGGGTGCAACATCATCTCCTTCGCGTGAGGCTATGGCACCATCTACGGGTGAGAGTGCTGTCCAAACCTCTTGTCCCAATTTCCCCTTCTCTCGAATAGGAATTTGAAAAAAACACAAAAGCATTGCTGTAGTTTTGGTTCCAGGTGTTTGCCAGCTATGCTTTTTGTCATTCAGCTGAGGATGTTCAGTGCAGTGTAAATATCTGAATCGGTCTGCTCTCCTTAGTCTCGTTCTCCCCTGCTCCTTACTCTGGGCTGATGAGACGTGCTCCTCTGGATGCTGTCCCAGGCTTTCTTCTCCCCCATCTCCTCAGCCCAGGTCCTTGGGGTCCAGCCTGAAATCCAGCTATGCTAGACATAAATCCTGATTGTGTTTCTGTAATTCCAAAAGCTCCTGCAGGTCCAAGGCAATAGTCCTTTCATGTTTTCTAAGAAGAGTTGCTCTCACCGCAGGTTTTATCACAGGCCACCCCAACAATGTGATCCAGTAAGCAGCGTGATGAAATCCCTGAGGCTTTCAGGTTATGACTCTGGTTCCTCCCTCCTTCCTTTTCTTCACTGCTTTATATACTATACGTTGGGTGTGTCACCCAGAAGGACACTTGTGCTGCAAATACTCCAACAGCTTTTGGATATATTGTATCAGCAACCTCTGTTTTCTCTGGATGAGTTTTTCTTGTGTTTGTGCTATTTCCTCTTCAAAGCTTTGGCTCCATGTTTCATGTAAATGTCACCGTAACCTGGGACTGGCAGGGCGCAGTTGCTCTCATTTGATGCGTGAAGGGCACAGAGGGTGTTTGTACCTGCACTGCCCCTGGCTTGGTTGGAGCTGTTCTTTCTTGCAGGGCTGCAGCTGAATTAATGTCCCCGGCGATGGAGACACCAGCTCCTCTGTGACAGCTGGCCCAAGCAAGCTCCACAATATCAGTACAATAAAACTCAGTGCAGGACCCCACAGAAGAGGAAGATGACATTCATTTCCAAATGTCCTTGTGAGCTGATTTATCCCCTCTGGTCACCCACGTGCCGCAAACCCACCGTGCTCCCTGTCTCTGGCAGGAGCCCAGCTGGGCCATGGGTGAGGGTGCTGGTCGGGGGGATGCTGACTGCAGCACCCCGCCACCCTGGTACTCCCTGGTTGGGGCGAGGGGGAACACCCAGTGTTACATTGATGTGATATAAAAAACCATAAGGGACCAATTCAAACAGCAAATAGTAGAGGTGTTAATAGCTGTGGCAGGTATAAGGAATAATGTTCCTCTTGTCATCTTTTGTCTTGCACAACATCCACTGCTTTCAAAGCAGTCCCTGCTGGGGGGCCGAGCTTGCTTCCCAGGCTTCCCCGTTCATCTTTCGCAGAGCCGCCAGCCCGTCCGTACCCCTTCCCGCAGACAGAGCAGGACAACACAGACTCGTCCTTCCCCTCCTCCGTGCGCTTCAGGTTCATTGGCGAAGGAGGGTAAAGAACGAGGAGGAGCTGCGGGGAGCCGCGCCTC